GTGCAGGCACCCGGCCGGCAACACCGCCACAGCAAACAGGCCTGCTGTGTGTGAGATGCCACTGCTGTGCTGCGGGGTGACCGCTCCGTTTGGGAAAACACAGAGGCTTTCCACGGGCCCAAGGAGCGCAGCGTACTCTGCAGGGCGGACATTACCAGAAATAACTTAACCTTTTGTCCAGAGTCTCCCAGGTAGGTCTTATTGCATATCTTCACTGTATGTACACAGACACCGCATTTATATATTACGTATTTATATAAGACATGTATGTACACATTTACAGACGGACCTTCAAAAACATATTGCACTTATATACAATGCAGCTTTATCGTAACTGATTTCATACTGTAACCCATTTCAGTTCTTCATAAGAAAGGCAGTTGACGTGTCCCGGAAAGTGGCAAAGATTTCGGTACCGTGCCCTGTTGCAGTAAACATTTATGGGGGGGCAGGGGGGAGAGGTTGAGGGAGAAAGGGCTGGCCCCTTCACTCGCTGGGTGCCACTCCCACCACCCTGAGGCAGCTGGAGTTGGACTGAGTTCAAGCAGGAACAAAATCCCTAAAGCTAAGCCTACTGGTCCTCCTGACTTCCAAAAGCGAGCAGGCCCGCAGGTGCGCAGACAAGGAAGAGACCCCCATATCCTGCTAACTAGTGCGGATCTCCTAAAGGTTCCCAGAGGGTCTGTTCCAAAGGGTCTGTTCCATCTTGGAACAACTTTGAAACAAACTTTAAAGCCTAAATATATCAGAAAGTTCAAACACAACGTACACGGATTTCTCTGTCATCTGATAAATGCCAACGCGATCTAGTAAATGCTATCACCAAGCCGAATGTGGGTCCACCTGCGACTCGCAAGGAACCCCTTCCCTGGACACCCCCTGTCGTGCAGGGAGGCTGACTGGTGCACCGTGGCCTGCCCGACAGTAAGATCCACGGAACACCTTCATTTCGCTCAGGGGGAGCGGGGCCCGCTGGCCTTCAGATCTCCGTCAGGGTGAGTTTGTACGAGCCCCCCACCTCCTCCATCTGCAGCTGGAAGGTGTCCTCGTTGGAGTAGTGCTTCACGATGTTGTCGTCCATGTTCACCAGGATCCTGACGGGGAGAAGGTTACAAGTGACTTTGCTCCCGCCCGGCCCAGCAGTCCGACCCGGCTTTAACAGTGATTCTGCTGCTCGCTGGCTACAACATGGGAGGTAAATTAAGCCCCCGAAGTCCCGCAACATGGGGACAGATAGTGTCTCTGCCTCAAGACTGCTGTGAGTGGTGCCCGCAGGCGCACAGGGCTGACTGGTCTCCAGCATGCAGGAGCCGCCTGAGCAAGACCTACTGTAACAACACGAACCTACAGAAGGAACACGTCCCTGGTCTGGCTTTAGAACGCACGCTGATAAAATGCACGTGATAAAATGAATCTGCAGTCTGACAAGTGATCTTCCCTGGAAGTTAGCCTTACAGTTTAAATGGACCACTAGACCCATCTAGAAAATTCCAATAAGGATTTTAAGATTAAGGTGTGGGGTGGCTCAGGCTATTCTGCTTATCTGTGCCAAAGAGCGAAGACACCTGAGTGAAGAAGTGTAAGTCAACTGCGGGTACTCATTTCTGGACAAAGTGCTGTTCTAGAACTTGAAAATACAACCCAAGGCGGGAGGGCAAAGCAGGAAGAAGCAAGGCTCTGAAGTTGGTCAAAGCTGCATCTGAACCGAGGCTCTGGCACTGACAAGGGACGCGCTCTTAGACAAGTCTCTCGAGCTCTGAGTCTTATCTACAAACTACGAACAGCGACACCCATCTCAGAAAGAGGATGTAAAAGTTAAATGAAGTGACGTGTAAAGTGCCCGACCCAAGGCCTGGCTCGCCACAGTGCTCAGTGGCCAGGGGAGCGTACAGTCCCGTGTCAATGGCATCACACGTCCTGGGATTCGGGGCCACTTCACTGCTGCCAGACACAGGAAGAGCAGGTGAAGATCCTGCTTAAAAAAATACACGCAAAGATAGATTGCGCCTGTGTGCCTACGAGAAAGACCACGTCCTCCACGGGGACAGGTCGCGCCTGTGCGCCTATGAGAAAGACCACGTCCTCCACGGGGACAGTTTGAGCCTGTGCGCCTACGAGAAAGACCACGTCCTCCACGGGGACAGGTCGCGCCTGTGTGCCTACGAAAAAGACCCCGTCCTAGCACTAAAGCGTCTGCCTGTCTGGCCCAGGCACGGGTGCAAGCCAGGGGATGGCAGGGCTCCCAGAGCACCCAGGGTGTACTGCTGCTCACCCCTTTTTACACTTCTTGAATATCTTCCCAATCTTGTCATGAGGAACATCATATTTGTCTGAGATCTAAAAGAACAAAGATAAGTAGTTAGAAAATGCCGTTTTAATGACTTGAGAAAAATAAGACGGGTGGGGATGGGGCTCAGGAAAAATGAACTGTCACACGAATGTCCATCAGCAAAACAAAGAGGTTACAGGACAGGGTACCCCAACAGAAGCTTTTAGACTCCGTGTGTTTGTGTGTGTGTGTGTGTGTGTGTGTGTGCACGTGTGCGTGTGCGTACACTCATTATCTCAAGAACGTCAAGGAGAATGAGGACGGAAGGCGACGTGACGGCACGCTCTTTGCTCAGGTTGCAGGCGGGACTCTCCTTGATGTGATTACCACGCCTGCGGGCACACTCTGGAAAACCACACTGTACCCCACTAAATGGAAGTATGAAATGATAAACTAAACGCAATTTATAACGAACACAGAGTGATTCAACTCCGGGCTTTTCCAAATCATCAGCAGGTGTTGGTGGCATGGCTGGCAGCAGGCTGGGAGCCGCACAGAATCCGCCCCGGTGACCTAGACACACGAGAGGTGTGCACGCGTGCCATGGAGCCAGGGGCTGGGGGGCTGGGAAGGGGACGCAGTGCGACGAGGCCCTGTCCACAGTGCCTGTCCCTCCCCTCCGCTGC